TGGAAGAGCTACATAAGAAATTACAATTGTCTAAGATTTTAGGTCTGGATCTTGATAATCCCAGTAATAATAATGTACTGTAGCGCTCTCGGGTTCGCGTGGGTCTGCGCCCTCGCCGCTGCCGCCTCAGGTCAGCCCCCCAACGCTGGGGACTCGAACCAGGGCCTCCGGCGTCACTCAACAGGGAGCCAGCCAGTTGAGCTGAAGAGAGATCTCCCAACAGCCAGACGGCTGCAGTCCCTGTTATTCACAGGGAAGGGCGGTGACGTCACCGCGCTGGTAAGCCAGCTCGCATAACCTGCAATGTCGGCCGTATGCGTTACACTCTCCCCCGCTTAATTCGCCGTCCTCGGCGAAGGACTATCCCACCCCACTCTAAAAACAATGTAGCGCTCTAGGGTTCACGCGGGTCGGGGCCCTCACGGCTGCCACCTCAGGTCGGCCCTCCAATGCTAGGGACTCGAACCCGGGCCTCCGGCGGCCCTCAACAGGGACCCAGTGTAACTCCTTACACTTGCGCTTTTCTGGACACTCCACTCAAAGCACTTTACAGGTAATGGGGATCCCCTCCACCACAACCAGTGTGCAGCACCACCTGGATGATGTGACAGCAGCCATAGTGCACCAGTATGCTCACCACACACCAGCTCTCAGTGGGGAGGAGAACAGAGTGATGAAGCCAGTTCATAGATGGGGATTATTAGGAGGCCATGACTGGTCCTGTCTCTTACGGACCTTGGGAATACAGCCCACAGTGACTTTTGACTGAGAAACACATAGAACAGACATTTCATCACGGACAGCAGCTGAACCTCCAGCCCAGGGGCCATGCAGACACCTGGGGGGGTCTCTGCGTTCTCACCGTGGTCTTCGGAAGGCCAGGCCATACTGCTGGCAGGCCAGCCCCACGGTGGGGGTGTACACGATGGGCATGAACTCCTCGATGTCAGAGGTCAGGAGGCGGTAGAACAGCTTCTCGTTCCTGTCCTGGAGTGTCATCAGCAGGATGTACCTGTGGACAAAAGAAGACCACAGATCTGGAGATACCGATACAGGACTCGGAAGTAAGATCGTGTAAGGGGTTGTGTTTGGATTGGGGCATTACTAGGTCTGGGACTGTCAGTGACAAGCAAAGTGTACCATCTGAATCAGTATCTCCTGCCATGAAACATGCCAATAAATGGAATATGCTGGATAACGGGTATTCTGAAAACGAACCATTCAAAGGGAATTCCAGCCCACCCTTATGTCCACCGATCCCAAACCCAAACACTTCTGTTAGGCTCTCAGAGAATTACTACATGACTACCCTCCAGACTTCAGGACAAAAATATCTGGTTTCGAGCCACTTCACTGCTCCTGTTGAGCACCTACACGACTTCCAAAGTTGGACGCCTCTGAACCCAACTTCCAAGAAGACCGGATTGTCACAACGCGTAGGTGAACACGTGCAAGGGCTGGGGATGAGAATATGAAAATGAAAAAAGAAGAGGAAGAAAAGTGGCCACTGACTTGTCAAGGGGGTCGCTGCGCATCTCGTAGCTCTTCATGACGCGGAGGACCTGCACGTCCTGGGTGAGGAAGCAGGGGGGCAGCAGACCGTGGATGCCCAGCTGCAGTCTCTCCTCCAGGGTGAAGGCCATGCCCTGGGAGAGGGGACAGCACCGGGTTAGCAATGTCCATCACGTCCAGTGGCAGGGAATCCGTATTTCAGACCTAACCAGTTACATGTGGGCAACTTTTAAATTTCCACCTCTTCTTCACCCGTAAGGACATTTTTCAATCAACGCCCCCCCCCCTTGTGAAATGCAGATACTCACAATGTATCACAACATTTCTCAATGAAATGGCGTTAGTCCGGAATGGTCACCTATTTACCTAGGCTAAATGTGTGGATGTCCCATCTTCTTGTTAGTTATTTAGAAGGAAAGTGTTTGTTAGCCACTGAAATTTAAGTACGTCTCCCCCTGCTATCTTAAAATACTGTAAGTACTGTACATACCACACCTTCTTTTTACTTAAAGTTAAAAATCACACAACATCTCTTGGGTTGCTGTGTGGCCAGGCTTGCTTTGATCTCCAGTTAATTGAATCATTAATTTAACACAATATAAATAGTTGTTTTTGTTATATCAATCTGAACCAGAACAAATTTCCCTCATTACAGAAATAAACCCATTATTGCAAATTCCACTGATTGCCCTAGATGGCATTCAATATAGGCAGCAAAAGCTTTGATGTTTCCATCCAAAAAAACATGGGAGTAGATATTTTTGTGCACCAATTCCCTTCAATACTTGAATTGAATGGTCCTAGATAATATGAGGGAAGTTATGAATCACTTTTCTGGCATGTATAAATAAAAGACCAATTCCCAGGTTAATATATTAAGTTCTTAGTGTTTACTTTGGCAGTGCATCTCTCTGAGTGACACAGCAGTTCCATACACCTCTCACCCAGCCAGGAAAAATGTCCACTGACCTTCACGAACCTCTGGGAACCTTGGAGAGCTTCACTCCACTCATGAAGCCCACACAACACATAGCCAGGAATCTCCCCACGCCCTGAGTCTTTATTGGTAGCAGACAACGAGCTGGTTGGGAAAGGAAAATCTTTCCCCACGTTTAAACTACTGTAGATACCGAGGGCAAAAGGCATTTTTATGCGTTGATACGGCATTTCTTTTCTGGTCTGTTTTTGTGTTCTTTGTGGTTTTATGGTCATCGTTTTCTTGATCCGTGCCTACTGCTGCTTTTTTTCCCATAAACGTTTTGGAACATTTGTGGTGACACAAATCTGGAAAACCACTTGTCCAATATTATCAATATCCAAGCCCTGCATTTTCACTGGCCACCCAGTGTTAGAATGAGTGGGCGGGAGACACAGGACGTGTAACTATACCTAGGAGGAAATAGTCCTCCTTATTCACAGCGGATACTTTCCTAAACCATCAGTTTGATCTAACACAGTGTTGTGGGGGAGCCAGAGCCTATTCCAACAAGCAATGGTCGCAATGCAGGGTACACCTGTCCACCACACCAGAAACAGAAACAGACACAAACACAAACACGCACACCAGGGCCACTTTTCCCAGAAGCCAATTAGCCTAGCAGCATGTCACCAGACTGTGGGGAGAAACCCAGATGAACATGGGGAGAAAATGGACGGATGAATATCCTTTCTTACTGAAACGTAAATCAATGCTAAACCTTCCATGAATGCAAAGCAATGCACTGCATTACATTACAAGTGCATTCAATAACAGCCCCTGAAAAATATGTTTAGTTGCTCTTAGAACAAGCCTAAAAGAAGTATTATATAAATGCCACTTGTGCTTTATACAGTATGTATCTTTATTGCAAAATGTCATGCTTAACATATTTTGAAAAAACAACCTCCAGTCTATCTCAGTTTTCAGCTTTATAGTACTGTACTGATAGGCATTTTGCAAGACCTGTACAAATCACCCATCCCCTAATATCCCTACCCCAAACAGAGCCTCTGGCTCTTCAGGGAGAACTTAATGGCTTTGTTTCCTATCAGGCTTAATACACAATTGAGTACAACGCCACACCCATAGCAGAGCCTGAAACCAGACTGAATCCAGAGCTAATCTATGTACAGCCCCTTATGTTACTTAATTGAAAACATAATAAGCTGTTAACCAAAAAATGCATGGTCTGTTTATTTTATGTGCAAGCTTTTCTGAAACTGATCCATAATAATCGTCATTACTGCACTCTATGATTCAACAACCTTTACATACAACACATACACAGAATCTGTTTTAATCGAGCACCTATCTGTAGCCTTCTGTATTGCATTTTTTAAACATGTATTCATAATTAGGCCAATGCAAACTTTATGTTGCTCAAAGTTATAAGCAATTCATATGCAAATTAACTAATTTTCCCATTTTTCCTTCCAAGAAAAATAATTAGGAAACAAAGACGTTTGTTGTGAAAGTTAACCTTGGTCTTCCTTACACTTACAATTCTATCCTCAAGAAACCAACTGCCAGAGATTTAGTGTCAACTCTTAAGAAAAAGCAGGCATAGTACAGAGATGAGATGAAAAGAAATACTTTATTTTCACTGGACATTTGAAATGTGCCGGAGGTATCCGTTCCCTGAGCACAGAACAAAGCACCTGCATTTCCACAAGGAAATGAGGAGAGCTCCAAAACTACAAAGGCACAAAGCAAGTTCTGGACTTATGTTGGTTGTCACACTTTGATACAAAAGCCTCAAGCATACTAAAATAGAAATCACCTGTTACAAAACAGACAGCAAAATCTTTTTATGACTCGGGAGAGTAAGAAGGTAAGAGCTGATGTCCTTCTTTTGGTGAGAGGCATTGAAATCTAGCTTGTATGTCAATGGTAAGGAATGGGTTTTACACTGGTAAATCAGCGCATTATCAAATCATCATCGAGGTGCTGCTGAATGCCCATAGTTTAACAAGATGTTCAGTCTTTCTTTCCAGTATTTTCACACTAGCATATACTAGCTTTTTTTTAATTGTGTCTCAACACGTAAAAATACACATTTCTGACTGCCAGCGAGTGCACGTCTTTAATCAGAATGAGGAATCAGGCAAGGGAGAAAGGTAAATTATGTAGAACAGGTCTGGGTCCAGATTCCATGGAACTGCTCTCATGATCATCAGTCAGAAGTAAATGTCTTAATCAGAGGGTCTCAAACTCAATTTCTGACAATTCTATTATACCCTGTTTTGTTTTGTTTTTTGTTTCATAGGTGTTTTATTGGTGACTGTCTCTTTAATGAACGGAATGTTTTCAGTCATCAGCTGAAAAAAGACCAAAATCCTCTATATGGTCAATCTGGACAATAATTAAGATAATTGTTTAAACTGACAGCTGAGGTCGGAACAAAAATCAGAAGACACTTAGGCCCCCCAGCAATTGAGAGTGTGAAAGATCTGTCTGTTTCACCAGGGAAAACCATGGAACTCAGGGCACCTACAGCAGGTCTGATACAAGCCAGAGACTGGCTACCCGTTCGCCTTTCTCCGGGGAGACTTTGCTTGCTGCCTTGTGTCAGATTTATCTGCTTTGTCATCTGACAACAGTTCCCTGCTCGAGGTCTACTAAGGATTCCAGTTAACAATATATTAGTGCCACAATAAGAATGGTACCAAGCCTCTATCCCCAGTATGTTGTACAGAAACTTGGCGAGAGACTCGACTTCTTTTCTTAACTGCCAATGCACACGACGGGGAACCTCGAATAATTAATACGGAACGGAATACGCCTGTGTGGTGAAGATGTTTGTTGGTTCTTCGTCACATCCAGATGTGGCACTTTAGGTCATGGCTTCAGGGCCAAAAGAAAAGAAAAATAAATGAATTATGAAGACCCTAGAGAGCATGTAAAAATGTTGGAATTTCAGCCCTAAGATACAGAAATAAGTTTTCTGTGAGGCACTGGTACTAACTACCAAGCCATTGTGGCCCCCTAATGTAATGTCATTTTCACACGCAAAGTCATGCGTACATGCATGCATTTTCAGTCAGGCCCCTTCATTACTTTGAAATAAAAAGGTCTAGAATGAGTATTGGTTCAGCACTTGGAGTAAGTGGCTTTGGGGCCAGAGAGACTGAGACATCACTTCTTTATTCATTCTTATCAGCTGCTGGGAGGGATTGATGTTGCCATTGAGAATATGCTTGAGAATGTGATGGCTGACTCTGCGTGACAAACCACAGCCGTGACTTTCTCAGCCTCTGGTCCTTGCCCCGCCAGTGCAGAGAGCGCTGGGGTCTGTGGCGGGACAGCGAGAACGATGAGGTCATGGAAATAATGCCACAGCTCTGCCGCTCTGTGCATGACAGAGCAGTAAGTCCAGCCCTGGCCCCGATCACAGCAAAACACCAAATACCCCAGGGCTCTTGTTTGAAAACTGTGTTTAAAAAACAAAAACAGCCTTGTGGGGTCGGCATGTTCTTGAGCAACCCACATGCCCTGCAATTAAAAACCATATCTTCAAGCAGAATTCAAAAGGCTAAGGAGCGCAGTTTCTTTAAAAACAAAGAACTGTACACATGTTCGAATACGTGCTCTGTATAAACCTTACCACTGTCAAAACCATCGAAAGGGCAAAATACCACAGCGAAAACAATGTCAACAATGTAATGTTAAAACAATCTGAGCAGATCTCAACCCCCTTCCCCATTGGTGCACTGACGTGTGTGCACATGCCAATCTCTGAAAGCCTGACTTTTACTGGCAGCTGTACAAATTGGGCACATATACAGTACCCTCCCTACGTGAAACTCTTTGGAACGGGAGAAAAAACCCCATCTTTAAACAGTACTGCTGAGCTGTACAGCCTCGCTGCAGAATCACTCTTGAATCAGCACTTGAGAAGTGCAGTGTTGCTCAGCTCCCAGACGGTGGGCTTTTCCGGAAACCAGTAATACAGTGCAGCTGCTCGACTTCACTCTCCCCCAGATGGAGCTTCATCCAGCCTCGTTAAATTTTCAAATCAACCTCTCCTAGTTTAATATTTACATATTTTAAACATCTTCACACAAAGCAAAAAAGGGGAACTGCGCACCGATTGCTTTGAAAAGGCTGGGACAGTTTTCACTGGATTTCAGGAAGGAACATGGTCAGAATATGACA